CACTATTATAGTCACATAGGCAAATACACTGATTTTAAGAATATGCAGGGTGTCCCAAAAATGTATACGCGCTTTAAACAGCTGTCTTTATAATTATTCAAAGTGACACCCTACACTTTAATCAATTTTGGCACCCATGTAACTATCACACAAATGAAGATATACGATATTTCTAACAGTCCAGATATTCCCTTGTGCACCCTTCCAAGCAATCACCTTACAATCCCACAGAGGCCACCACTATTCTAACTTCTAAGAAAATCAATTAGTTTTGCCTCTTCTTTGAATATGCTATAAATGTAATTACTTTTAACATGTAGCTTTTTTTGGAAAACATATTTTTTTTCAACAATGGCATTTCATTTATCGGTAGTTTGTTGCTTCTTGTTTCGGAGTAGTATTTCCTTTTCCGACTGCAATTTGTCTATCTCTTCACCTGTGGATGGATAAATGAGATGTTTTGTGTTTTGTGCTATTGTGCATTAGGCTGCTGTGCACATTCTTATGCAAGTCACTTTGTGCACACATTTATTTCTCCTCATATCTACCTAGGAGTTAAATATCTAAGACATCAGGTGGATATATTTTTTACTTCAGCAGGAGTTGCCAAATAATTTTTTAAATAATGTATCATTTTATATTTCCTACTAGCAATGCATGTGATTTCCAGATGCTCCATATGCCAACACTTAATACTTTCAGTCTTCATAACTTCAGCTATTTTAATATGTGTGTGCAATGTATCTCCTTGTGCTGTGTTTTTTATTTCCTTGGTAACTAATGATGTTGATCAGATTCTCATGTGTTCATTGGTCTATCATCTATCTTTCATGAAGTGTTTTGTGAAGTTCAAGTATTTTGTCCATTTTAAAGGGGTTCACTTTATTTTTGCATTGATTTGTAGAAGTTATTTATTTATTCAGAATATGGGCATTGCACGTATTTTCTCTCAGTACAAAGTTTTCTTTTTTCTTTTTATAATGGTATCTTTTTTGAATAGCAGAAGATTTTAGTTTTCATAAAATCTTATCAGTGAGTTTGTTTTTCTCTTGGTTACAATTTGTGTTTCCTTTTGTTTCTTTTTCTATGATTTATTTCAAATTAATTTTTGTGTATGGTATGAGATAGGTGTCAAAGATACCCTTTTCTATATGGAAATGTAGTTGTTCCAGCATCATTTTTTGAAAAGACTTTTCCCTATTAAATTAATTAGATAGCTTGGTTCTATTTCTTAGCATTCCATTTGATTCTATGTGCTATGCTATTCTATCCATACAAAAAAATTAACTTCATGAATTACTGTCACTTTTTAGTAAATATTGAAATCATGTAGTCTAAGTCCTTTTATTTTATCCTTCAAACATATTTTTGGTATTCTAGATGTTTCATACTTAATATATAGATTTTAAAATCATATGTTCATTAACTTCTACAAGGAACAGTCCTAAAATTTTAATCGGGATTTTGTTGAATCTTAGATCAGTTTGGGAAGATTTAATATCTTCAAGTTTTTAGTCTTTTAATCCATAAACATAATACATCCATTTATTTAGGTCTTCTTTAATGTCTTATATCAATATTTTGTCATTTTCAGTGAATAAATCTTGCATGCCTTTATTAAATTTACTCCTAGAATGTGATGCTTGATGCTATATAAATAGCATTGTTTCAAATTATATTATAAGTTGAAGAAGTCATCGTCTCTTTCTAATTTGCTAAGAGGTTTAATTATGCATAGGTGTCAAGTTTATCAACAGATTTTCTATGTCTACTTAGATAATTACATTTTTATGTTAATTTAGCACATTATATTAATTGTTTTCCAAATGATAAATCAAGTTTTCAGTCCTTAGATAATTCCTACTCGATCATGGTTTATATGTTTGAATTTAATTTACTAAGACTTTGTAACAGATATTTGTGCTTGGGCTAATGAAGGCTATTATTTGGTATTTTTTTCTATGTTTTGTTATCAGGGTTATGCTGGCCTCATACAATGATAATATTAGCAATAACTTACGTCTATTAGCTACAATAGCTATATACAAATGTGAATATTAAAGAGATAAATTGGAGCAAGAAAAATCCGATCCTAGAAGATTACGTGTTAAATGATATAGACAGATTCATAGAGAGCAGGCTTAGCGGGTGCTGGATAGGAGGTGGAGGGATTGAGCAAAAGAGAAAAAAAAGAGAGAAAGAACTCAAGGACATGGACAACAGTGTAGTGATTGCTGGAGGGAGGGATGGTAGGATAGGTATAGGGGACAGAAATGATGATGATCAGAGACTTCACTTGAGGTGGTGAACACACAATACAATGTACAGATGCTGTATTATAGGATTGTATACCTGAAACCTGTATAATTTTGTGAAACAGTGTCATCCCAATAAATTTAATTAGGAGAAAATAAAATTGGGTAAAATAAAATAGTACAATTTATATTTAATTACTTAACTACCCTTTATCTATGTTAGTTTTTATGTGTACATTTAAAGACATAATAAGGTATAAATAAAAGCATAAAATTTATATAATAACAATTTATTTTTGCATTTTAAATTCTCACACAGTTAAATTATAATTAGATATAGTAGAATATATATTTATTCTCACCTTTTACATTTTTATAATCTAATAATTTTCCTTCACCCTTTGTTCCTTGGCCCCAATTAGTAAAAAGATATCTTAAAAAACAAGGTAAATTCTGTTTCTTCAAGGAAACCATAAAAAGAAATATTATGAAGCAACCCTTCTAGACACAGCTGTCTTGAATACGATGGGAAGCAATGTAAATGCTCCCGGCACTTGCTACCAGAGTGCTATTCTGGAGCCAAAAACCTGGCCTTGCATTCTGGGCATCATCGGTCTGAGAGGCTGATCCAAATATCCTTTGGTTATTTATGTGATTTATGTGATAATGATGTGATTGAAGATCACAGGGAATTCAAAAAGGAGACAAAAAATTTCCTTTGGAGTTCAGATTCAACCACAGATTTCAAGGGTAGATAAGAAATTACAGCCCTGGCCAGTGTGACTCAGTTGGTTAGCATCGTCCCATGCACTGAAAAGTAACCAGTTCCATTCCAAGTTAGGGCACAAGCTCAGTTTGTGGGTTTAGGAGGCAGCCAATCAATGTTTCTCTCTCACATGGATTTTTCTCTTTCCCTTCATCTCTTTCTAAAATATTAATAAAACATATTTACAAAAGCTTTTTAAAGACAATACATGGTAGTAGCCACAACAAAAATAGTAGTAACCACAACAAATAGTAGTAACCACAACAAATAGTAGTAACCACAACAACAACAAAAAAACAAGGAAATTGCAGACTAAGTCTCAAATTCTCTACAGAAGCACTCAATTTTGGAATACAGGGGGACAAAATCCTACGCAATAAAAAACACAGCTTCAAAATTTGTGCCCAGCTATATTTTATTCAAATTTAATGACAACACACAGACATGTTTGAGCTTGCAATATTAGAGATCAGAACAAACCTAAACCCTGCTTATGAAAAATACCAAGTCAATCTAGAAATAAATGCAAGTGTAAAACCAGGAATGGAGGGAGGGGGATGAAGTCATGGTAAAAGAAAAAGTGATAGGTCTTGAATTTACTGAACTTTAAAACCAAGATCAAACAAAAACCATATATTAATCATAAAACTTTGACAAAGAAAGCACATATATACGGCAAAGAAAGCAACCATCGCAACCGAACAGACGACCAAACAGACTGTGTGGGGCGACCAGGCCGGCAGGGGGTTTAGTGAAGGGCGACCAAATGACCAAGCAGCAGGCTGCGTGGGGTGACCAGGCCCACAGGGGCAGCAGTGAGGGGCGACCAGGCCAGTGGGGGTAGAGCAGTTGGGAGGAACCAGGCTGGCGGGGGGGGGATTAGGAGCCAGCTGTCCAGGATTGTGAAAGGGATGACTGTCTGAAACTGGCAGTCAGACATCCCCAGAGGGGTCCCAGATTGGAGAGGGTGCAGGCTGGGCTGAGGGGATTCCCCCCCCCCCATGCACAAATTTTATGCACCGGGCCTCTAGTAATATATAAATGCCAAGTATATATTCATAATGTGTAAACACCAAATATTGGAAGGGGAGGCTGAGGAAGATGTACTAGTTTCCTCAGTTTTTAGAGCAGAAAGTCAACAGAGCATGTCTAAATTTGAAACATAAGGTTAAAAAAATACTCAAACATCTTAACATATCTCTAATTTATTGATTTCAGATTGCTCTTTTGGCAGTTAACATCAGGTAATAAAGAAATATTTAGCTGAAGCTCAATATTCCTTCATTTGAATGCAGTTTTTACCCCCACCTTTAGTTAAATATAATAAATTTTAATTAAAAGGCTAAATATATATAGCAATACAGTTTGATAATAATCTTTCTAAAATAATTTATATTTATTTATCTGTTTATTATTTATCATTTAGATCAGTGGTTGGCAAACCACGGCTCGTGAGCCACATGCGGCTCTTTGGCCCCTTGAGTGTGGCTCTTCCACAAAATATCACGTGCGGGCAACAACATACAAACCTGACTTACCCAAATTTTCCAAGGAGATGCAAGGCCATTGTTCACATTAGTGTTTGTCAGTCATTGTCATGATTTAATTTTATGGATATCATAAGGTAAATTGTAAGGAATTTAATTTTATCAATAAATAATATCGTTATTAAGTATGATATTAATTTTTATTCAATGTACCTATAGTTTAACTAAGACTTAAAACTTTAAGTAATGTTTATTAAGTTAATTTTAGGGAACGTTGTGGAGTGAAAGAAGATGT